TTGGCTATTTTATATATTATTACTAATGTATGATAATTTCCTTTAAATGTCTTATTTTCCCTAAGAAGCTTATCCCTGCTTTTTTCAGAAGCTTTTGGCTTCTGTTCTATTTCTCAGCTCATAATCTCTCAAACTCAGCATAATCCTCCTGGCTCCTGCAGACCCTCCCACTGGCCCAGTGCCTCACCGCACCTCTTTATGTTCTCAGCATTGCCAATGTGATGTACAAACTATGCTGATATTCCTTTCTATATCTCAGTCAGGTGGGGCAGATCCTAGTCTTTTTCTCAGACTCTAGGGAGGCTAGATCCACAGGTTCAAGTCCCACTCTTTTCTTCCTTTCCTAGGGAGAAGCTGTGTCCTGGGAAATGATGCAGGAAACGAGCCTATTAAAACTGAACTGGGATTAAGCTTTCAGTTCTATCTGCCTGAAAGGCAGCTATTTCAAGCTGAAGGGAAAATTTATGAATGTAACCAAGTTGAAAAGACTATCAACCATATTACCTCACTTTCACCACTTGAAAACCTTACTTCTAAACTGAAAACCCACATGTTTAATAAACATAAGAATGATTTTGTCAGTTCTCCAGTATTCACAGAAGAACTGAAAGCACACATTAGGGAAGAACCTTACAGACATAATGAGCTCAGCAAAGCCTTTAGTGTGTCTTCAAGCCTTCCTAACCATGGGGTCATCCATACTGGAAAGAAACCTTTCCAATGTAAAGAGCGTGGCAAGGCCTTCAGGCAAAATTCAGACTTTCTACGACACCAGAGAATCCATAGTGGAGAGAAACCTTACAGATGTAATGAGTGTGGCAAAGTCTTCAGTCAAAATGCACACCTATCTCAACATCAGACAGTTCATACTGGAGTGAAACCTTACAAATGTCATGAATGTGGCAAAGTCTTTAGTCGTAATTCACACCTTACGCAACATCAGAGAATTCATACTGGAGAGAAACCTTATAAATGTGATGAATGTGGCAAGGTCTTTACTCGTAATTCATACCTTACACAACATCGGAGAATTCATGCTCTAGAGAACCCTTATAAATG